CGCCAGCCCGTTGAGGCGCGAGCGCCGCCAGCGCCGGGGTCCCGCCGACGTCCTCCGGGACGCGCCGCGCGTGCGCGGCGGCGGCGGGGGCGCGCACTCCTGCGTGGTCTCGTACTCGTCGTCCTCGGGGATTCGGAAGGGGCTGGCGGGCAGGCTGCCTAGGCTGCCGCCTAGCGCGTAGGCCCCGCGCCGCGGCCCCGGCCCCGCGGTCGGGTAGTAGTAGCTGTCATAGCGTTGCATGTCCGCGCTGGGCCCGGGCCCGGGGCCAGGGGGTGCCTGGTGCCTCAGGAGCGGCTGCTGCTCCGCCAGGCGGTAGCTGATGGGCGCGGCGGGCGGTAGCGACGCGGCGTGCGCGGAGTTGGGGGAAGTGATCTCGAACGTCGGCACCTGTGTGGCCAGCGAGTAGTGGAAGTCCACGGGCGAGAGGCGCGCGGGCGTGGTCAGGGCCGACACATACCTGCGGGGAAAGGCAAAGGCGTGGGTCTGGTATCGGGTACGGGGGCCGATCTCCACCTGAGGCAACCCGTGCACAAGAGTGAGGGCTGTAGCCCTGGCCACAGGCAGTTTCTCATCTGTTAAGGTTTCGGAATGTCGGGACTATTTCAGAAAAGCATCAGGGGAGTATCTAAGCCCTGTGTGATCCTGCAGTAAGCCTCCATAAATGGTCATCTGCTGTGAGGATGCTAAGAGTCTCCAAGTCAGGCTTAGGCTGAGGTCGCATCTATTGTGTAGGATCTTTAGGTGAGGGCCACACTACATTTGGGAAACAGATTGATTTCAAGTACCACTCTGAATCAGCTGACTCCCTTCTACCCTCTCTCAACCAAGGCACCACTAGGTGTCTCTTGGAGCCAGTGACCTCCAGGTCCTTGAAAGCTTATTCTTGTTAGTATCTCTCAGTCTGAATCTTGGGTGTCTGTTCCTGGGAATTGAAACCAGGACGCCCCTTGTAGAAGGTAGAAGCTTCCTTTGCCTTAAGCCCCTGCAGGGTCAGTTCATCCCATGGTGGCTTCAGGGAAAGCTTGCTATTGCTCTTCATCCCAGTCTGAATCCTGAACCCTTTTTGTTCTCCACATCCCCTTTGTGAGCTCATCAGCCACCATCATTATCTACCTCAGGACAAGGACCACCCATCCCCTTCCTGCCTTTCTTCCAGACTACTGCCAGGCACCTGATTGCTCTCTGGAACCACCTCAGAGGCCCTGTTACTTTCTTGCTGAATCAACTGACTCCTTCCCTCTTCCACATGGAGATCTAATTAACCACCACGTGCTACCCATCCCCTCTTTTCTGGAGAACATCCTCCACCCCATGCTGGGCCAGCTGTTCTCTCCGGTCATGCCACCATCTTGGGATCTCTCTTTAGGAAGTTCCTACCGCAATATTTTAAAGTCTCAGCTCTGCTAAGGAGGCCCCTCCTATTTTTCTACCCAGGCTGTACCACCCAAGCAGAAGCCAAGGGCCCTGGTCCTTCTGTATGGCTTAGCCTGCCTGCTTGGGTTGAGCTCCACTGCTCCCCACAGCCCACTATGCTCCTCATACTTCCCTTGCTAGCCATGCTCTTATGTTTTTTTCTAGAACAACTCTAGTGGTATCCTGTGTCTGCAAGATTTTCCTTCCCCATCTCCCTACCTTTCATCTCCCCACCACCCCTGAATGAACCCTAGTGCTGATGTGTCAGGTACTGCTGTTGTGTCAGCTAGAGGCAGAACTCAGCATATTACTTTGTGGGCCTTCACCAGCCCCATGCCCTCCCCCATCTACACAGAGGCAAGCCACCTTCCCCAGATCATGCAGCTCCTAGAGCTAGGCTTGCAGAGGGCCATCATGGAAAATCTGGCTGCTTCTCCAGAGTGTATGATCAACATAGGTTTCTCTGCCCTGGTTATGGTGTCTGTGCTTAGCACATTTCAAAGCTCCTGGGAGTGTCAGTGGTTTGTCCCTTGCCTGGGAGCTCTTCTGGACAAGAGCCAGGTGGGCCATCTCTGGCTTCTCAGACATGCTTGACTACCCCAGGCCTGGCATGGATTCAGCTGAGTCGGGAGGAGGTGGAATCTGCTCTTCCTCTTCCTCTGCTGCCAGGAGCCTCTCCTGCCTGCTTTCCTACCACAGACCTGGCCTGCCTAATGGAAGGGTGATCAAGGTCGGGGCTAGCCCCTGGGGCTCCTGGCGTGGAGTCAGGGATAAAAGGATTTTTTTTTACATTTATTTATTTTGTATGTATATGTGTGTGTGTGGGCATGTGTGTGGAGGTCAGAGGGCAACTTGTAGGAGTTGGTTCTCTCTTTCTACCATGTGGGTTCCAGGAATTGAATTCTCAGGCTTGGTGGCAAGTGCCTTTACCCAGTGAGCCATTTCGCTGGTCCACAGAAAAAGGGAATTTTCTGGTTTTTACTGTATTCAGTTCTTAGGATCCCAACAATGCCTTGGGCACTGGGACCTTACTGATGATGCTGTTAGGGCCGGAGATCATTCTTGGCTCATCTCCTTCCCACTCTGGTCATTGCCCTTCAAAGTAACCTCCCTTCCAACACTCGAGTCTATTTAGTCTTGGGGTCTTTCTGTTCCTGCTGGGATGTGAGGGCCTCTAGGTGATACTGGGATAGGTGATACTAGGATAGGTCCTGGGTGACTGGAACAGTCAGTCCTATTTGTCACTGATGTTCCAGTGCAATTATTACCATCCCCTTCTCTGAGAAGTGTCCTAGCAGGACAGTTAAACTAGATGCTTACTCCAGTCAGGGACTATTGGGCCAGCTCCAATTCTAATTCCGGGAGAACATTTAACCTTTCCAGGATGTTTGCTCGCCTGAAAAATGGAGATGAGGCTGTTGGTATTGCCTCTCCGGTGTCCTAAAGGGTCAGCTTTAGGTTGGCAGTGCTAGCTTTTAGCCAAGATGGGGACTAGTCAAGGGGTAGAAACTGACCTCTCACTGTGTGGAGAGTCACGAAGGGAGTCTATGGAGTCATGGTAGGGTGGCATGGCAGCCCTGCGCCGCTCCTCCTGGCCGTAGGCTGCTGCCCGCCGTGCCCGTGCCTCCACACACGCTGGGCTGTTGCACTTGCTGGTGCCTACTGATGACAGCATGATGCCTGACTGGGAGTCAGAGGTCAGGCTTTCAGAACGTTCGAGGCTCCATGTGTGGCTCTCATGTCTGGGAAAACCAGATGTGGGTGAGATGAAGGGGTCAGGGAGAGGGAGGTTGTCCCAACAGGTGGTGTCCCATGGCCACCCCATCCCTGGTTCTTCATCCCATCTGGGGCTCCCTTAATGTACAGTCTTCTGTACTCTGGGTTGATGTAGAGGGTCACACATGTTTAATACTGATAATGGGAGGAGAGCTGGGGTCTCGTGGATGGCTGAGCTGCAATGTGTTGAGGCCCCTTCTTTTCCTCCTTGCCACTGGCCTCACTCACCTGGGACACTTCTACCCCCAAGTTCTCCAGTCACTTCTCAGGAGGCCAGTCTTAGTGGCCAATGTATGGGGCCTTTACTATTGTGTAGCACTATTCATGGAAGGAGGGGCCAGCTCTGTTATATATCCAGCTGTATCAGCCTTTATGCTTGTATGGACAGGTTGCCCCAGTTCTGAAGACAAGACTAAGGTAGACTATGATTGTTGTGCAAACCCAGGAGAGGATGTCAAATAGCTGTGGATGCTTGACAGAGATAAAGTACAGAAACTGGCAAGGTTCTGTGGGCCTTGGTGCTGCCCACCTGTGGCTGGAGGTGGGCGTGGCTGTGGAGCAGTGGTGAGAAGGTGAACAGGAGTGGCTCCCAGAGAAGGTGGTCTCAGTTTCCCGCCGGATGATGTGGTCTGTGGCTGGCACATTTTTGGAGATGTACTGGGACAGACAGAAAGTTAAGAGGTGTTAGTGACAGGGATTAGATAGGCCCTGTTTCTAGTGGGGAGGGCAAATGATGAGAACTAAGCTCTAGGTTGAGGGGTGATCCACTGCATGAGATGTGACTTGACATTAGGTCAGTGATGGTCCCAGTCAATCAACCCTCCATCCTTCCTATGGAAATGAGCAGAGTGAGACCAGCATCCCAGTAAGATAGTGCCTGGCAGGCAGGATAACTCATTGAGATGGGCTGGCCCATCCTTGTATCCAGAGAAAGTGGATGTCCAACTAGAGCTGGGGGTAGGGGTGTCTGGGAACACCACTCACATCTGCCATCTGGATCTCCTCAGGGTCCAGCTGGGGGTGACTGGGTCCATTAGCCAAGCTTCGGTTCTGATGGGCTGGGCACATGTTCTGCCGGAGGTGGTTATGCATCTGTTTCCGCTGTTTTCTGCACAGGGGAAGGAGGGGTGAGCCTAGCATGTCCCCTCAAATGGATGAACTTCCCTGACTGTCCTTCTAGGGAGTCAAGGTCAATCAAAGAACCCTACTGCTTTCTAGCTGTATAACCCTGGGCAAGTTCTGGAAGCTCGCCATGTTTCACTTTCTACATCTCTAACATAGGACCCCTTACCATCCCAAAGGCCATTGACCATAAAAACCTGTAAACTACTCTCACACTGTTGACAGGGCCCCTTCCTCCTCTCTCATGTGTTCATTTAGTGTTTACTGGGTTTTGACTGTGTGTCAGACACTGCTTTGGAACAGACAAGGCAGACATGGTCCTTGTCGTATGCAGCCTGTGGGCCAGTAGGGGAGGTGGCTAATAAACACAAAACAAGGAAATGAACTAGATACTTTCAGTAAAATTTTACAAAGAAGATAAAACAGTGCTGTGGTTAGGACGCCAGGGCCTGTAAGACTCCTTTGCACTGACACATATTAAATGCTTAGTAAATTTGTTTTATACTAAACAATAGTAATTACATCATTCCTTTGGTTCAAACCCTTCCGTGGCCCTTCATGTCCATTTCTTTCCCCAGCCTTATTTCTTGCTGCCTTCCCTCCACCCAGCTTGTTGCTTCCTGTGACAGATGTTTCTGATCCTCCACCATGTCCTGTCTCTGGCCTCTGGGTACTTTCTTTGCTTCTTCACTTGCTCATACCTTCTTGCCTCAGACCCCAGCCTAAGTGCTGTTTCCTCAGAGAAAGCCCACCTGTCCTCTACCTGATGACAGGTATGTGGAAAACATGTCCTGAGATCCTGGACCACTTGCTTGGAGTGATGGCTCTGTGTCTGTGTCTGGGCCTAGTGTCTCATCATTGAGTGATTGCTGAAGCAGTCAGCAGATGCAGTGGGTGTCAGAACAGGTAGATTCCTTCCTCCTCAGTTCATGGATTCAGCTTTCTTGGGTTCAGTCTCCTCTGAGCTTCTTAAATCCCAGTGTCTTCTTCTTTACTTCCCATAAGCCTTTCTGGCCCTGGACCCATCCAAGATGAGGCCAGCAGGGCCTTAGATCCCTCTTACAGGGCAGCAGGAGCCCAGATCCAGGGGCTCTGTCTCTGAAATGGTGCTCTGCCTCTGTCCTTGCTCTCCAGCTGTGAATAAATGTGGCACTACCCTACTCTACAGTGTTCACTGGCTCCATACTATCTGTAGAATAATGGTAGTATCCATAGCTTGGTATCAAGGTGCTGTGGAGGTATCTGAGTTCCAGCTGTCTTTTTAGTAACATGTCTACTCTTCCTGACTCTAGCTTTTTGCTTCTTGTCTTGTCTGGGCTGTTTCTGCTGCAGACTGTGGCTGCCCCATCTGGCTTGTCTTTCAGCTTGTGCTCTTTTATTTGACCTTCCCAGCTTCCCCAGCTTCTGTCCCCACCTATCCTCTTCCCTGAGGTAGCCTAGCCTGTCTTTCCCTATGCTCTTTCTTCAACACTCCCAGGGTAGGGGCAAACAGTGCTGAAGAAGCACTGGTCTTTCTGGGAATGCAGCTTTTCCTGTACTCCTTCCTCCCCAGCATGACCCCAGGGCCTCACATCCAGCAGGAGCCTGCAGGGTCAGTTGGGCACTCCACTCAGGCTCTCATAGTGTCCTTTGAGGTGTACACTAGACTCATTGCCATGAAAACCTTGAGAGGTTCCTCAGTTTGCTCAAGGTCTCATGGAAATGGCAGAGTTGGGTTTGAACCAAGACCTTTCTGTATCTGCCCCTGCAACCATTGGGGTTAGCCCTTGTGAGTGCTGAGGCCAGGCACAGGGGATGCAGGGTGAAAGCCTGCCTTCACAAAAACATCTTGGAGGCCATTCCCTGCCTTGGCCTGTCCTCAGCCCGAGCACCTGACACTCACTTGGTCTTGCAGTAGGCGACCACACAGACGATGCCCACGACCAGCAGAGCCACGCAGATGCCAGTGATAGTGAGGACCCTCTTTTGGTACAGCTCCTCTGCCTCTGTAAGAGCAGAGCAGGAACAGAGCTCATGGAGATGCTGGTACAGATGCCCCCTACCCCCAAGCCTCAGGCTCCCTCAACCCAGGATCTATTTTCTTTCCTCCCTTTCCCTCTTCTCTGCCTGCTCTCAGATTGCCTTTGCATCCCCCAAAGCCTCCCAAGACCTGGCACCTTTCCTCAGGCCCCACACCTGCCCTAAGCACATGAGTGGAAAATGGCAGGTGATGGGAGCAGATGGAGTGAAGGCAAAGCTCCAAGGCCACAGAAGATGAGAGGCAAGACCGTGGTGGCCTGGCAGAGTTGTTCTCCCTGATTGTGAACAGAGAGAGAGAGAGAGAGAGAGAGAGAGAGAGAGAGAGAGAGAGAGAGAGAGAGAGAGAGCCCTCTGAGAGCTCCCTCACTCCTCCA